TTTTCTCTGAGCCCCCAACAATATCTCAAGTTTACATGTTAGGGAAAACAAATCACCTTTGGGAAACAACCCTCATATATCCTTAGAAATAGGTCACTGGGGACCGGAGAGGCAGCTTAGTAAAACCACTTGTTGCTTCTGCAGAGGCTTCAGGTTCAGTCTCTCCAGTTCCAGAAGATGTGACACCATCTTCTAAAACCTCAGGCACCAGACACACACATGGTGCACATAGTACATGTAGACAACATGCTCCTTTATCTAAAATAAAGTAAACAGATCTTTAAAAATTTTTTAAAGAAATAGCCTTTTAGGAGCAGTGTATGTAAAGTGTAAAAGAAATGTAGTTAGTTCCTAAAATAAAGTACCCACAGAAATCCGGTATCCAGTTCCTTCTGCCCTGCACTCTCTTCAAACAAGGAGGCACAGTGGCTCTGGACTGTCAAAGACAGGGATGCTGGGAAATGGCTGCCTGGCAACCATTTGAGATTTTCTAGGTTTTCTGTGCAGTGATTTATATAAAGTTTTACTTTGTTTCATCTCAACACCTAGTGGAAAAGCACTGCTTTTTGTTATGTTACGTGTATGGATTTTACTAAATATAACTGGCCCATGAGATGTCATCTTCCACCTACTGCCTTTTAACATTAAATTATAGAGAAATAAACAATCCAGATATGGTGGTGCACACCTTTAATCCCTGGCACTCAGAAGGCAAAGTGAGTGAATCTCTCTGAGTTCTAGGCCAGCCAGGGCTGCACACACACACACATACACACACAGAGAGAGAGGGGGGGGGCAGGCACATACTCACTTTATTGCTAAGCACAGTGACTAAGCTCGTGATTTTGCTTTTGTTTCTGACTGTAGGGAGTATGTGACCAGTGCCCTTTGCATCCCGCTGGCAAGCCAGAAGAGGTAAGGATGAGTATGGGTTCTGTGTCTCTTCTGCTTTGAAGACCAAGCCATTACAATCATCCATTTTATATGTGACAGGAGTTCCACTGGACGTCCCGACTGGACTTGCATTGTGGTGGGGTTTACGTCTGGTTACGTGCGGTTCTACACTGAGGTGAGCTGCGTTTCCAGCGGTAGAGAGAGCTAGCTGACTGCAGCGCTCTGCATCATGTTGTGCTGCCAAGAATATGGTGGGAATCTGAGAGGACAGTCTTCCTGTGAATGCTGGGAAATACGTAGCTGATGGTTGAGCAGGGTTCTCAGCCTTCCCAAGCTGCGACCCTTTAATACAGTTCCTCATGTTGTGCTGACCTCAGCCATAAAATTATCATCATTGCTAATTCATAACTAATTTTTCTACTGTCAGGAATTGTGATGTAAATATTGTTTTCCGATGGTCTTTGGGTTGTGACCCTCAAGTTGAGAACCACTGCTTTATGGGGTGGAGGAGGGACAGGTGAGGGATCATCTGTGGAAGAAACAAGAGTCGCTGTCCACTTGAGAATAAGGAGGACCCAGTGTCCTTGGGAGACTGTTGGGAAATGGCGCCGTTTGCCTCATCCTGTCCAGTCACACTGGAGAAAACCAGCAGGGCCCTTTTCTGTGCTTGCTTCTAGAGCGGTGTGCTTTTGCTTGCACAACTTTTGAACGAGGACAAAGTGCTTCAGCTTAAGTGCAGGACCTATGAAATCCCCCGACACCCTGGAGTGACTGAGCAGGTAATGTGAAGGTTATGTTCACAGTAACAGTGGCAGGGCTGGAGAGAGGGCTCAGCAGTTATGAGCACTGGATATTCTTTCAGAGGATCCAGATTCAATTCCCAGAGTGCACATGGTGGTCCAAAGCTGTCTGTAACTTCCAAGGAGATCAGGACAACTCTCTCCCCCCCCACACCCCCCCCCAGGCGCACTTTCTGTCCTCCACAGGCACTAGGCACCTGTGATGCACAGACACACATGCAGGTAAAACAGCTATCTATAAATGTAAAATCAATTAGAAAGAAAGTAGCAATGACATTGTTTTAAAGCAATTTTGTTTGCTTTTTTGCTTGGAAATGGAGAGAATTGTCTTGTGGCCCATTTAGCTAAACTGGCATATTCTAGAAATGTAATTTGTAGCTAAATAGAATACCAGCCTTTATATTTTATAAATGAAACATTGTATTAAGATGACTGTCTTAGTCAGTGTTTTCTTGCTTTGAAGAGACCATGACCAGGGCAACTCTTATAAATGAAAACATTTAATTGGGATGGGGTTACAGTTTCAGAGGGTCAGCATGCAGGCAGACAGCTGGTGCTGGAGGAGCTGAGAGCCCTACATCTGCAGGCAGCGGAAGAGTGAGAAACACTAGGCCTTGAGCATCTGAAACCTCAAAGCCCACCCCAGTGTGACACTTCCTCCAACAAGGCCACACCTCTTCAGAGTGCCACTCCTTGGTGACCAAGCATTCAAATCTATGAACCTATGGGAACCAAACCACCACAGTGACATAGGTGAAACCATATTAATGAAACTTCATATTTTAAATTTTAATGCAAGTGTCAAAATTACCTATAGTAAAAAAAAGTGTTTGTCTCACAGTAAAACAGTAATCATAGCCTTTTATTCCATTTATAGTATTCAGAGTTAAAACTTTAAAATGACTCTTTCTTTTTGCACTACTTAGTTCCAGAAAATTCCATGTTAAACAGACATATACTGAATGCATACATGGACTTAAATTGCACAATAAATTACAGGAATTATTGAAACTAGATTTTATTAGCATCTAAGAATGAAGTAATTAGTAACATAAACATCTAATCAGTCATACGATCAAGATAAACTACACATTTAGGGAAAGGGTGAGGTTTTCTGTGAGCCTTGGATAATGGACATGCAATTTAACTGGTTAGTGGGAGCAGAAGTGAGGGAAGGCTCCAATGTAGAATTTTGTACTTGGTAGCAAGGAAACCCACTAGGAGACATCAAGAAACTGATGGTAAGCAGAGTGCTCAAAGTTTGTATGAACTCTGAATTGAATTGACATGGCATTAGAGGAGCTCCCAGAGAAGGAAGAGGTGCAGCCACAGGCCACTGGAGCACTTGTTCTTGGGCCTCAGTGTGAGAAACTAGAGTCAGGGGGTGCCTGGGGCTGGGGTGTTTGTTGTTTGGGGCTTTGGTCTTTGTGTAGCTCATGTTATCCTGGAACCCATAACCCTCCTACCTCTGCCTCCCTCGTGCTGTGATTATAGGTGTATGTCACCATGCCCTGCTTGAAATTGGATTTTTAAAAATTACTGAGGCAGGAGACTGAGTCAAAAAAAACAAAATTAAATCAGATCTGTATTCTTAATAAAATGGGAAAATTAGATTGGAATGAAGCATAATTGACAAAATGCCTGCTTATGTACAAGGCTTAAGTCCTCAGCACTGTAACTATAAATGAATGAATGAATGAATGAATGAATGTTGCATTCATGCTTGGAGGCATCACACTCAGTACCGTGCTATAGGCTAAATGTGTGTACATTATAAGTAAATAAATAAAATGTGTGTGATAGACTTATGCAAATGTGTATGAATTTATTTGAGAATGAGTATTTGGACAGGCCTCTGATTTCAAGTGAGGTATTGAGGTGTTTGTTTGTTTGTTTGTTTGTTTGTTTAAACACTGGATTTCTCTGTGTAACCCTGGCTGTCCTAAAACTCACTCTGTAGACCAGGCTGGTCTTGAACTCAGAGATCTGCTGGAATCAAAGGGGTGCGCCACCACACCCTGTGAGCTTCTGCTGACTTACATCTCAATAATGGATACTTCTCGTGAGCTGGAGCAAAATTTTTATTCACACCGTTATCCAGATCCATTTCCTACTACCTGCAAAGCTCATGTTTGAGAGGAAGTTGAAGTCTTTGGCCAGAAGGTGTCCTGAAATTAGTTCGTGCTGCCTTCTGCTGCATTCTCTGATTGCTTCATGTTTACAGTTGACTGTTTAGTCATGGTATTTAACTGAGTGTGATCCTTAAGTGTTTTTATAAAGGAAGATGTTTCTTTATTTTGTCTGTTTTAAAAATGGTGTTTTTTTCTTTTCTTTTCTTTTCTTTTCTCTTCTTTCTATCCCCACACAGAATGAAGAACTGAGCATCCTGTACCCGGCTGCCATTGTGACTATTGACGGGTTCAGTCTCTTTCAGTCTCTCCGTGCCTGTCGAAACCAGGTAGCAAAAGGTAATGTCGTGGTGGAGGGTCTGCCTTCAGTCATGAGCGTTTCATTCAGTGTGGCCTCCTCACACAAGTGACGTGTCTCCTGCAGGGGAGTGTTGTTTACAAGCAGGGGCTGGAGCCTCGTACTGCTCAGATGTTGGCAGTGGGGTGTGGCAGCCTGAGAGCAGGATGCTTTCTTCACTTAACTCAGCAGCATAGCTTGGCTGGGAGAGAGGTGGTCACTGGGTGAGGATTTGGGTGCAGCTAGCAAACCTCTCCCTAGATGAGAAGCTATAGGACACAGCCCTAAAATCCCCTGACTCCCTTGCCTCTCACCTCACTGAGGATACAGGTGTCAGTGTGTGCTGGCACATTTCCTCACAGGGGAGGGGGCCCAGCAGGTCAGCTCAGCCTCTTTATTGGAAACACTTGTCAGTGAAGAAGTGTCGGAGGTCTAAACTTCATGTGTGAGGACGTCGTCATTAGAGGTGAAAGCTGCACAGATAATCAAGGAGCCTCATTGTGGTGAGGATGGAGTGTGTGTGGAAGCTAGGGTCAACAGCAAGGGTGTTCCCTCAGCACTGTCCCCTTGCTGCTTACTGACTTTATTTTTTCAGCCATGTGTTCATTCATTCATTCATTCATTCATTCATTCATTCATTCATTAGAGAAGGTCCACTGAGCCTGGAGCTCACTGGGTCAGAAAGATTAGCTGGCCAGTGAGCCCAGGGAACTGCCTGTCCATCCTTCCAGCGGTGTCATCACAGGCCCGTTACAGGTGCCACACTGTAGATTTCACATGGCTGCTGGGGTTTTGGACTTAGGTCCTCATGCTTGTGTGGAATACTAATGGGGCCATCTTGCCAGCAAGTTTGTCTGCCATAGGCAAAGACTACTGCTCACGCAAGACTAGGTTCAGCAGGGTCCTTAGCAGTTGCATTTGTGTGTGTGTTGCCATAGCATGAGTAAATCTCATATTATGCATTTTTAGTTACTGTGCTTTCTTATTAGTTGATATTTTAGAACAGTAAATTATATACTAGATGTCTTTTCAATAAAATGACATTCTATCCATTACAATTTCTGATTTTTGTTTTTGACAGCTGCAGCATCAGGCAATGAGAACATACAACCACCACCGTTAGCTTACAAGAAATGGGGTCTACAAGACATTGACACTATTGTCGATCATGCTAGTATTGGTAAGTATTGCTAGTTCTATTTTTATTCTTACACTTTTTTATAAAAGCATCTAATTTATTAGAAATTGACACTATATTCTTACATGGAAAAAAATCCATTGCCTTTAGTTTGTCACTGGGAAGTTAGTTCTGACTTTTTTCAGCTAGGTTTCTGTTTTTAAGATAAAGTAGCAGTTTTAATAAAGATTTAGTTATACTTTTAGCATTAATACTGCAGTTTTGAGTAGATACTATTCTGGTGTCATTTGTCTACTGACATTCTGATTCTTGTAATGACCTTATATTGGACCAACAGAACATATATGAAGCAGATTTCTTCCCATGACAGTATTTGAGGGCTTACTGTGTTAGTTTTCAAGAATATAGATATGAAAGACTAGGTATGGTGGTACATACCTGTCATCTCTGGAGACAAGGCAGAAGGACTGGGAGTTTGAGGCCAGACTACATTATATAAGACTCATAAAATGTACCAGTGTGCATGTATGTGTGTATAAGAATGAAAAGGAAAAAAACAAGGCAGAAGTAAAGAGATGAAAAATCATGACTGTCTAGAAGCTTGAGGCTAATTGAAAGATCACATAAGAGTAGACAGCTGTAGTAGGACTCAAGGAGAAAGAGAAAACGCCAGCACTGACCAACTTGACTTAATCTGACAATAAAAGAACAAGCCCTCTAGCTAACACACATGTTGGTCCAGGGTGAGTTGCAGAATGTGCTGGAGAAACAGTGAGTGCCAGGCGAGTTGGTGAGAGTGAGGATGGGGACATAGACAAGGCCTAGTCTTGAAAGCCGCTCAGACGTACACAGAGGAGTAGCTAAATCTTTCTTAGGCTATTCTCAGCCATGTCAGGAACCACTGAATTCTCAGCAAAGAACTAACTCGCTCACATTGCCTGTTAGAAAAGGGGGCTGGAGAAATGGCTTAGAGGTTAAGAGCATTAGCTGCTCTTCCAGAGGTCCCGTGTTCAGTTCCCAGCAAACACATCGTGGCTATAACCATCTGTAATGAGATCTGGTGTCCTCTTCTGGTGTGCAGATATACTGGAAGCAGAACACTTATATACATAATAAATACAGCTTTAAAAAAAGAAAAAGCTAAGTATGTTTGTACATGCTTATAATTCCAGCTGTTCTGCAGGCTGATGTAGGAGGATAGCAAATTCAAATCCAGCATTGGCAGTGTGGCCATAGTCCATCTTAACTTAAAAAAAGGAAGGAAGGAAGGAAGGAAGGAAGGAAGGAAGGAAGGAAGGAAGGGAAGAAAGAGAAAAAAAACTAGTAAGGAAACACTACCTTTGTGAGAAGTAGTGGTCTTTTTAATTAAGGTGATAAAAGAGAAAGTTGAAAGAGAAATATTATTTAAAAACATTTTTCATTGCTGTAATATATGTTTAAAAAATTGAATACTGTATAAATATATAGAGAAAAAACAAATCTCCTACTCTCCAGAGACCCTCATTGGTGTTAGCTCCCTAGTCTGTGTAGAAATACATATATAACATGCATACTGTTGTGTGGAAGGTGTGCTTTTATACATTTTTGTCAGCCTCGGTCCTTATGGAAGACTGATGGTTCACTTGAGGAGGAGGCTTGAGAGGTTCTTTACAGAGAGGCTCTAGGGTCTGTTAGTGCAGACACACCAGGGATGTCCGTAAACCAAGACTGGACTGCTAAGTCTGAGGAGTCAAGGACAGAGAGCCCTCCTCTCTTAGAGAGAGTGCTGGGATCAGCATCTGGGGAGCAGGGTGACTTTTCCTCCAGGGTCACAGCCAGCTTTCAGGGAAAAGATGTCACATCCCATTTTCATTCTTCCCTCTCTGGTCTCCTGATGGGAATCCTGTCTGAATTCAGCCAGAAGTCAGTAGGAGCTGTCGAAAGTCTGGTCTAAAAAGGCCAGAGTTGTGTGTGGGGCTGACAGAAGGCTGGCCCCCAGGCCTGCTGACTCTGTCTACACCATCCTATATATCAATCTTGCAACGAGTACTCTGCCTTATTGGTAAACAGTTTGGTGTGTCTTCAGTTTTTTCCTAAGAGAAATGCTAACAGAATTTCCAAAGTGTTGAGTCCAGCCCAGGGTCTCTTCCCTGCTCTGTTAATTAAACTTTGGAACATTGAAGCTGGCTGGGGAAAATGATTGGATAGAAAGCACTGTTCTATTCATTTACTCCCCAGCCTACAAACAAAAATACAAAAGGTTCAATGAACTTTATTTTATGTACACCTTTATGTAAAGTCTTAACTCATTCAATAACCAAAGACGTAATATTCCTTAGGTAATGCTGGTACTAGAAACACATGACAGTCTAGACCCTGCCCTGAGAACGCTTGTATTCTGGGATAGAGATGAACATAACTGAATGAGTAGCTGTGGCCCTGTCAGTCCACTAGTAGGCGTCTCGGAGGAACTCAGCAGGGAGCTATGCTCCAGAGCAGTGGTTCTCAACCCGTGGTGGTGACCCATTTCACAAGCTAGCCTGTGTGACACATGTTTACATTGTGATTCCTAACAGCAGCAAAGTTACAGTTATAGAGCAGCAACTGCTTGGGGATCCCCACAATATGAGGAGCTGTGTTAAAGGGTTGCAGTGTTAGGAAGACTGAGAGCCCTTGGAGTAGAGTAGAGGAAGTGCAGAGCCAGACTGCTAAGAACGGGCCTCTCCAGAGCATTCACCTGCATTGAGACAGGAAGGGTGAGAAGGAGCAGCTGCTGAAAGATTTGTAGTCAGAGCATTCTCAGCAGAGGGCACAGTGTGAATAGAGGCCTGGGGACCCCAAAGACCTCAACGGATTTGAGCACAAGAGAGGGAGCACTTCCTTGATGGTGTGACAAGGGAAGTCAGGGGTATACAGAGGGTCAGAGCTGAAAATAAGGAAGGTGAATTTTATCCTAAATTTGTGCTTTCTAAGACAGCCAGGACTGTGTAGAGAGGCCCTGTTTCAAGTAAACCAAAGGTCGCGTTGGATGCTCTTTAGGGACCTGTGTGGAGGAGGAAGGAAAGCAGGAGGAGTGGTTTGGTAATGGAGGCGCTCGAGAATGACCGGCTTAGAGCGGAAGCAGTAATGTGAAGTAGCGCCACACAGCTGCCCGGGTGTGAGCTTGAGAAATGAGGGAAGGGACTCAAGGGCCCACAGGTGATGTCGTCATTGCATAGTGGGAGCAGCCGGGTGGATAAGCGGGTTGTTCACGGGAAGGAGAATGAGGAAGAGATGTCAGGAGGGAAAGTCGAGTTATGCTTTCACTTGTAGTGTAGCATGGAGCCGGCAGACAGAGGTTCAGAGCAGCTGGGACTGCAGGGAGAGGTGGTTTGGGTGGATACTTGGAAACAGCAGCAGGCCAGCTTGGAGCTCTTGACTCACCTGATGAGCAGTGGGAGGGGAGGGTTTGTTTCACAATAAATGTGTCCACTTCCTATTTTCAAAAGTAACAAATAAGAACAAGAAATAAATTATAGCATCTCCACTCATCATCTCCAGTGCTGACCAGTTCTTTGGGCTCCATATTCTTTTTTTTAAGCTCCTTTTCTGAACACTTTTACAGATGTCCAAACTTGACCTCCAGTGTTAAATTCTCAATTTCCTCCCCTCACGCTTGCTGCTCTCTTCTTGCTCCTCCCCTCCTCCTCTGCCCCGCCCACTTGTACTCGGGGGCCCATTACTTGCACAGGTGCTGCTTGGCCTTGTCTCCCAGCCCATCTCTCACTGTATCCGGTTTTTGTCATTCTGGCTCCCCAGAGCACCCAGGGGCCTTCTGCAAAACATAATTGCTGCCCCCTGCCTGAGCAGTGCCCACCTAGCCGTGTGGTTTCTCCCTCATGGGTACCGAGGAGGAAGCAGAAGTGGTCCAGTGAGCTTGACTCTATGGAGATTTATGTGCAGAGAACATTCAGTGTGTTTCACAGGATGAAGGGCTTGTGTTCAGGGAAAACCTCCAACGACAAGATTATAACCCAATGGGAAAATCTCAGCTAAGGAAATAAAATTAAAGTTGAAAGCTTTCTCAGCCTGGAGTAAGATTTACATCGTTCTTAATGAAAGCAGTGAATGTGAATTTATGTTTTAAGTGGCCCTACAGCTTTTGAAGGGATGGCAGAGGAGGAGGGTGCCCAGTGAGCTGTGTCACCTTATATGCACTTGTGACAAAAGCCGCCAGTCTTCTAGATTCAGCGGCCTGCCAGCCAGTGTACAGCAGTGTGTGAGGTAAAACAAGTTAGTGTCGTCACAGGGATCAGGCTAGCCAAGTCTGCGTGGGATGTGAGTGCCAGACAGTCTGCTTTGCTCAGCACACCCACTGCAAAGCGCTGGGAGCTGGGGAAGAGCCGGGAAGTGGGCTGGGCTGGGGTCTGTGTCAACAGCTGTTCCTTTCAAGAGCAGAAACTCCAGGGTTAAGATGTACTCTGGAGAGCATGTGGAGCCCGATTAGTGCAAGGGCTTGTAGGAAGGTCTGTGATGGACCATGGGTCTAAGCTGAATGATAAGGGAAAGGGAAACTAACAGAGGAAAAAGTAGCAAGATTAATGGTTTGAAACAGTTGGTAAAATAGTAATGTCATTGCAAGGGGACATTAAACTAATGGAGATTTAAAAAAAAAGGCTATGCTTGCAATTCAGGTTGGTGGTTTGGGCATTTGTCATCACTTTCAAATGTGGGTTTTTGAAATAAAACTAAGCAGTATCTTGGAACAGAAGTAAATAATCACTTAAATGAAGTCATTCAATGTATTCAAACTGGTTCTTGTCTCTTTTTTAATCATAAGGTATTATGACTCTGTCACCTTTTGATCAAATGAAGACTGCTTCTGTCATCGGTGGAATTAATGCAGCAATTAAAAACAGTCCACCGGCCATGTCTCAGTACATCACTGTGGGGTCCAGCCCATTCACCGGCTTCTTCTATGCTCTAGAGGTATGAGTTTTATCCCGAGTGGAGCCACTCTTAAATTTTTAACTTGCCTAAAAACTAGATACAGTAAGTGCCTTAGAAAGATTAGATTTAAAATTCTAAATTTCACCTGAAGCTAAAATTAACCACAAGTTTCTTCCAAACATTTTTATAATGAAAGAAATTATTGTGTATACATGTGTTTGTGTGATGTGTGTATGAGAGTCAGAGGACAATGCTTGGAAGTTTGCTCTTTCCTTCTACCTTGTAGCTGCCTGAGACCAGCTTCTAGTTCCACCTCCCATCTCCCCGTGGGAATGTGGGGTTTACAGATGAACACTACTGCATCTGGCTTTTCTGTGTGGGTTCTGGGGATTGAACTCAGGTCATCAGGCTTATGCTGTATGTACTTTACCCAACACAAATGTCACCAGTCCAAGTTTCTTCTAAATAATTTGGATTAACTGAAAAGCTCTGAAGATCTAGGCAGAGCATTGCAGGTGTGGTAGCATTGGGAGAGACAGAGGCAGGAAGATCAGAAATCCAAGGTCATTCTCTGCTGCATAGCAAGTTTGAAGCTAGTCTGCGCTACAGGAGGCCTTGCTCCCGGGTCACCACAAGGGGGTAGGTGGGTGGGGTGTGTGCTCGCGCGCGCGCGCGCGCGCGCGCGCGCGCGCGCGCGCGCGCGCGCGCGCGCGCGCGCGCGCGCGCGCGCGCGCGCGCGCGCGCGCGCGCGCGCGCGCGCGCGCGCGCGCGCGCGCGCGCGCGCGCGCGCGCGCGCGCGCGCGCGCGCGCGCGCGCGCGCGCATGTGTGTGTGTGTGTGTGTGTGTGTGTGTGTGTATGCGTGCAACAAAAACCCGTGTGTGTGTGTGTGTGTGTGTGTGTG